AAAGGAAGTTAACGTTTTAGGGGTTTATTGTTAACAGATTCCGAATATCCCATTACTTTTGAAAAGCTTTACATAAACATAAATATATAAATGTTTAGGGTTTATTCCATGTCGTTGCATGAATAAGTTCTCAATCAAAAACAAAAAGCTTGCTACGGGCCTGATTTTAAATATGTGATTGGAATCTGGTTGTTTAAATATTTTAATTTGCACTTTTGTTAACTTTTTTATTTTAAATTTTTAAAAAATGGGAATTGTGGTTGCAGTTTGCTTCTTACAATCGTAAAAACAGCAACCACATAATATAAACCCAATCCCACAAACCAAACCAAAACGTAAACAACATTCGCTAAACAACTCAATACAAGACCTGCAGTCACAGGTTACGTTGCCACATTCAAAGTTACACTCAATAAACTTCTTCCGCTTCTAGGCCAATAACCCATGCTCATTATTTGACATTTGATTAAAAAGACAACTAAAACAATTTTTAAAAAATCAAAAAAAATTATTTTCTTAATAATTAAAATTTAAAGTTTTATTAACTGTCTATCATAATTCCATTAATTCTTTTAGTAGGGTAAAGTGGGGCATTAAGCTCCATGTTTTCAAGAACTTTCATTTCTTCTATTTGAAATAAGTAAAAAAATATTAAATTTAAACTGAAAATGTTTTTAAGTAATAGACAACACATATTTCTTTAAGTACAATAGCTTTAATCAGAAAAATTTATAATCTTACTGTGAAAAAAAACTAAAAAGTTACAACTAACAATGACTCAAGATTTAAAAAATGGGGGCAATAAGCTCCAGATGTTAAACATTTATTTTCACATTGTTTGTAAGCAAATCTCACAGATCCATTCCACGGCTTCAATATCAGCCCCAATCTGGGGCTGATATTAAAACAATGGAATACCAGTCATGGAATAACAGCCATTCAATATCAGCCCCATCCTCGCACTCTCCTTAAAAGAGCCTTTTTTATCAACTCCAAAATGAAAGAAAGCATGGTTGGCAGACATTTGCTTGCCTGTAGGCATCTCTCATTGCCTGGCTAGTTGCAAATAACTTCCTTTCTAGTTCCTCTCCCTTTTTATATGTTTGAACCATTTTGCTAAACAAGTGTTAAGCAAAATTTCTCCCCCTTTGTACAAAGGGGGTAATAAGCTCTATTGTCAAAACTATATTTAAAGCAGTATTAAACTATTTCTAAAAATAAGTAACTTTTGTTTTCAATTTAAACTATATCTGTGTAATGTTTATATAATTAAAACATTGATTTTATTTATCTAATCAATTTTATTCAGTTGTTTTAATCACCTTTTTGTCATTTGGGGGTATTAAGCCCCTGCTAATTAAAACATTAATTTTTATAAATTAATTAAACTAATTTATAATCAAGAAAATCATATTTCTCTTAGAAATGCTCTCTATTCAAAATATTTAATAGAAATTTAGTATTAAAGTGAATTTTAGAGTTATTTATAAACAATGTCTTTCATTTAACATTTCAATGACATTCATTTAACCGCCATTTTATTTTTCTAAAATTGATACCTTAATTTGCTCTAGAAATATTAGTATTTTAATTCATTAGTTACATACACAGATAGTTATAAAGTTGAAAATACTACTTACTAAGTTTATATTTACTTGTATTGTTAGTCAAAACAAACACACGTTTATATGCACTTGTATTTCAAGTCAATAACAAACACGCGCTAATCTAACGGAAGTTTTTCAACAAGTTTGAAGGAAACGGAAAACTTGATGAAAAAATCACTCATCTATAAATTCTAACTACATATCCATGCCATGGGTTAGAAACCCAAGTATGGTTGAGAAAAGATCCCTGATTGATTAGTTATTATCTATGATGTAAAATTTAATGTCCCTCTCTCTTAATACAATAACTCTAAGCATTTTATTATATGAAAGGAGTAAGTGGCGCTTAATGCCCCATGGGGCTTAATGCCCCGCTTTACCCTACTGCATTCATTTAATATGAAGTTTATAAAAATGTTGTTGTTTGTCGTTTTGTTGCGCCATTTTTAATGTTTTTCTTGAATATTATGGGCGAACCTTCGAAATCTCGAGTTCGAGAGAAATCGAGAAACTTCGACGAAACTTCGACGAAGTTTTTAGAAAATATATTTTCTATTTCTAAGTTTTTAGAAAATATATTTTCTAAAAACTTCGTCGAAGTTTTTAGAAAATTAATATATTAATTTTTTACTCGTATTCTTATTTTATTTCTATGTGGTTTTTACAATTGTAAATTGTAATTTTAAAAATTGTTTCAAATACAAGTGTTTCCTTTATTTAATAACAACACTAATATACATCGCAAAGCAATCGGTAATGCACAGTGGGCCAGGTGACGATGGCGAAAAAAACCTCAAAAAATGTTTATTCTATTCAAACCCATATAATAAAACATACTCATACTTTTCCATTGTACTATTTCAAAAACTTTTTTGTGCATAATAGTATTCTTTTAGTATTAGTATTTTTTTAAATCCACAACTCAATTGCGGTATAATAAAATGTAATGCATAATAAAAAGCAAGAATTTTTTAATTTTTAAGCAAAGATATAGTAAACAGTAACTTTTAAAATATTGTGCGTATGTGATATTAGTTTGTATATTTAAACTATTCAATAGTTTACCTTATAATACTTTACATATAATACTTTCATTTTATATAAGTAGTATACAAGTATATGGTACGATCAAAATAATTTTGTCTACCATAAGTCTAATATCCGGCCCACTGTGCATTTTGGCAAACTTGTGCAATAAAATGTTATCAGTGATAACAAGTAATAATAATTAATGTTTAGTTATACTTACCTATCGGAATAAATAACTTAATTAATAACTTAAATTGTGATACCTTTTCACAGTTAAAATAAAGTTAAAAACAAATATGTGAGGTCTTAATCAAATTGATAATTTTTCTTTCATAGAAAAAAATGGAATATACCCCCGTGAATATACCCCCACACCTTGGCCACCTTGTTGACCTTGGCCACCTTGTTGACTTTTACAGACTTTGCCAAAGCTTTAGACACAGTGCCGCACAAAAGGATCCTTCACAGGGTTCAGGCCTGCGGCATTAGAGGCCAGGTAATCTACTGGATCTTTGCTTGGCTTAGTGAAAAAAAACAACTTGTAGTTTTTGTGGAACAAACTTCCGAGTGGAAAAGAGTGACAAGTGGAGTCCCTCTAGGATCAGTACTTGAACCACGGCTACTTGTGCTTTTTGTCAATGACTATTCAGATGGCATTAGCAATTATACCAAGTTATACGCCAATTATAGCAAGATCATTGGAATTATAAATAATAATCAATCATCCTCTGAATATGAAACACTGCAAACGGATATTGACAGCGCTGTAAGTTGGTCACATAACTGGCTTATGTACTTCAAGATCAAGAAGTTCAAAATAATGCTCGTTGGTTGCCGCAAAAATAAATCAACACATATTTATACCATGACTGACATCAATGGTAACCGATACAATCTGTCTCCAACATGTATTGAGCGTGACCTTGGGGTACTAATATCTGACAACCTCAAAGTGAAAGTACAAGTAGAAGCAGCAGCTTTAGACGGAAATTGAATGCTTGGCTGCCTGAGAAAGATATTTCAATGCTGTAACCTCCAGCTTCGGAAAAAATTGTACCAGCTATACGTTCAACCGTATCTAGAGTTTTGTGTACAAGCCTGGTCTCCTCATCTTAAATCGAAAATCGTGCTTCTCGAACGTGTGCAAAAACGTGCAAAAAAGACTATATCGTCGATGAAACATTTTAATTACGAAAAAAAAACTACAAATACTAGGTCTAACCACGCTGGAAGAACGCAGAATTTGTAGTGACCGTATACTGCAATACAAAATCGTTAATCAGTTACAAGAAGTTAAATTTTACATACAACAATTACAGCCTTTTTTATTAAATTCACGATATAATCTGAGAAACAATAGCCGATGTTTAAAACCACAACTGATCAAAAGGTATTTAGTGCGTCAGCACTTCTTTACAAACCGTGTGACTTCGCTATATTAAATAAATTAAAATAAGCGGTTGTTGTGGTTATGAAAAGTTATAAATTTTTTTTAAGTTAATTACTTTTAATTTTTTAACTTTAATTTTTTTTTTATTTAATCTTGATGTTATTTACATCAGTTATTTAAAAGTTTTTTGTTAAAAAAACTGTTTGGTTTATTGTTCTTGCTTTGGAAATGGCTCTTTATTTTGCAATTTTGCAATGGAAATGGCTCTTCATTTTGCAAAGCTACAAAAAGTTTTGTAGCTTTAATTCAGAAAGGTTTTTGTTATAAACCAATCTAGCCAAAATGAAAGTTATTTCTGGAAATGACTAACTAGAATAATTGTTAGATAATTGAATAATAAATTAATAATTGTTGTCAGGAATAGACTAATTAAAATTAGTTTATTACAGACAAAAGTTTTATGAATAGCTATTAATAAATAAACAAACAAACAAAAAAAATTTTCATTTCTGGTAGAGTAGTTGTTACGACCAGGGCTAACCATTGCCCTCCCGAACGGGGGGTGAAAAGGTATCCTCCCAACTGTTATATATGCATTTGAGTTAGTACATTTGTCCCAATGGACACGGGACGTAAAAAAGACGTCCTTTAGACGTTCAATTAGCGTCCGTCCGTCCCATTTAAATTCTAAACGTCTTTTGAACGTCTTTTTCGTGTCCAATAAATTTTTCGTCCAAAAAAGATCCAGAATGCCTTATTAAATCAAAATTATATTAGTTAAATCACGCAGTCATCAAGGCTTATTTATTTTTAATTAAAAACGCAAATGTAGAAAAAACTTTCAAGTGTAAAAGAAGTTTCAAATTAAAAGAATTTTTTATGGCATCTCGAAATAATAAATGGACTAATTCTTGCGGCGATAAAACCACGTGATCATTGCGTAATTAAAATATAAAAATATCTACCATTATGATATGGGGGCAAACAAACGAGTTGATTTCAGTTCATCGCTACTTGAACACTTTGAAAATGTCTTATGATTATCAAGGAAAACTATCAAAAGAGGCTGCTGAACGTTACCAAAATAAGTTAGATTAAGGTAAGCTTTTTATACAACTACCAAAATTTATTACAGGAAATTTTATATTAGGTTACATATTAAACACGCTAATAGTATTAGTGTGTTGACTTAATTAAGTAAACACACTAATACAATATTAGTGTGTTTACTTAAACACATTAATAGTATTAGTGTGTTAAATATGTAACCTAATATAAAATTTTGTCTAATAAAGTTAACTTTAGTTTCAGTTGCAAAAATTGACTTTCCCTTTATACCAATCTGTAAACTTGGATGGAGTCATTGGCAACCAGCAGATTAACTTGATAGATATTTTTTTGCATGAGGTATTTCAAGTTGTTGTTTCAAGATGTTGGGTTTTGCATTGACTCCAATATGCCATGGATAGGAGCATCTCCTGGTGGGATAGTGACATGTGGTTGTTGTGGTTCTGAAGTGCTTGAGTCTCGAGCACTCCAGAACCACAACAATCACATGTCACTATCCAGGGTTGGCAAAAAAACCCAACCCAAAAAAATCCAAAAAAACCCACCTTAAAAAAACCCAATAAAACCCAAAATATATTTGGGTTTTTTTAAAAATGACCTATTTTACAACTGATAACTCTGAATTTAACACTTATAAAGGCTTTATTATCAGCAAGTGCAACCTTTATACTGTAATTACTCTTGTAAACACTGTATTTATATACATAATGGTCTTTAGGATATACCCAAAATCGATCAATCTGTTTTTGTAGCAAGTTGGTTATTTATTATTTTTTTAAAACATTTAGCAAGTTATTATAAATGTTATTAAAATATGTATTAAAACATTAAATTAGTTAAATACTTATAAAGGAAATAAAAATCATTCTATTAGCTAAACTTCAAGACATTACTAGTTATTTAGTATCTTTATTCTCCTCTCGAATGTCTGTATTCTTTTATATTGGTATTTGATTTTTTATTTTTTAAAGCTTATGTTGTAAACTGCAAAAAAAAAAAAAAAAAAAAAAAACCACAAGAATACTATATATAAAAGTTAAACTTTATTTACAGTTTAGAAATGAAAAGTTGTCAGGCAAAAAAAAATGCTACAGTTTACTAGATTTGTCCTTCAGTGCATACAACTTTAAAACTTAAAAAAAATTAAGTTAGGTGCAAGCAAGCTTCCAACATGTTTGCTCATTCAATGAGAGAACATGTTGAAAACTTGTATGCATTTCACAAAGATAAGATTTGTTGGTAAAAATGACACTCGTGCTCATCTGTCTTTTGAATATTTAACAAGTTTTGAATATTTTGCATCAGCTACAAGTTTACAACATGTACCACCAACAGGGGTGACTATGAACAGCGGGTTGAAAATTAACATCAGTATCAAGTTGCTAAAAGGTGAAGAAACACACACAACAGAGCTATATAATGTGTTACTTTAATTCAGTTTGCAATTTGCATTGCAAAACTGAGCCGGTAAAACATCTTCAAGGAAAAAAAAAATTGGCGGCAAAGACACTGTAATGGTTCTTAACAAATTTACTTTATATATATTTAGAAGCAAAGTTTAGGCAAAAATCCATTTTTTGCCAGTCCAGTTGATCAGGCCGATAACTTTTCCAAGAAGCTAGACAGTGTAATGTTCTGATAAAAAAAAATGTAGTGATTAGGCTAGCAGTTTTCTTCTATGATACAAAAATGTTTAAAAAGTGTTCATAGTCATCCTGATTGATAATAACTTATAAGGTTGCAACATCATGTTGCAAACTTGTTGATTACATGTAGTTTTTGAACATGTTAGTAAAAAAAACTAGTTTGCAACATTTATATTGTCTTACCAACTTTGAATAACTCAATTGTCATAATTTTTACACTGATTTTTTTTTGGTCAAAGATGTTCTGAACATGTTTTTAATTTAGAGCAATTAATTAACATCATTTATAGTTGATGGAGTCCCTTTTTGCACTATAGGTAAAATGTGCTAGTAGACTAGTAGTAAAACATTTGGCTCGCAACCAGAAGGTTGGGGTTCAAATTACTTCTGCTGAAATCTTCTGCTGTCTCAATCTATTTCTCCACACAGCGCCTTTGTTTAAAAATTTTAGTTGTTAATGTTGTTTGTTAGTAAAAATGGTAATGTTAAAGATTGAGACAAAATATTTTTAAAAAATGAGTTTCTCCCTTGACTGAAATGGTCATTGGAACAATAGGGAAGTGAATTTATGAAATTAAAAAAAAAAATATTGTACTCATACAATTATAAAAATTTGGTATTTTGATCGATTTTTAAAAAAACCCAAAAAACCCATAAAACCCAAAAAAAACCCATTTGGGTTGGGTTTTTTTAAAAAAACCTGGGTTTTTTCCAACCCTGTCACTATCCCACCAGGAGATGCTCCTATCCATGGCATATTGGAGTCAATGCAAAACTTTATCTCAAGTTGAGATAAAGTGCCCCTATTTTTTTGAAAGAAAAGTCACTTTTAACAGAAATTAAATCTGGTTCCTTTTTATGTATTTGAAGATAATAATCTGTGTTTCTTAAAAAAAGACCATAATTATTATTTTCAAGTTTATTTAGAAATCGGGTTAGCTCAAAGTCATTATTGTGATTTTATGGTTTGAACTCCAACAAAGTTTTTGGTGATTCGAATTAAACCAGAGGTTGATTTTATTGATGAAGTTCTAAAAAAGGTTACCATGTTTCGGGAACAGGAAATCTTACCAGAGCTTTTATCACAAAGAATTGAGACAACTGAATTGAAAAAATGTTCTTCCCCTAAAAAACAAACACTATATTGTATTTTAAAAAAAAAACAATATTGATTGTCAAATGATATGGTAGCTTGTGACAATTGGTTCCATCATTCATGTATAGGCCTCAAAAAAATACCTGGTATTGTAAAAAGTGTCAAAAAAAGAAATAGAACAGGTGTGTATATTTTATATATTTATAATTTAAATATATGTTCGAAAACATTTGATTTTGTCTTAAGTTAACATATTAACACAGTGTTGGCTTACTTTTCAGCCATATGTATATTTTTAAAATATAGATACTAAACAAAATAAAAATATTTTTATTCTGTTTAGATCCTACCGTGCTGTTACTTAGCCTGTCATTAATAATATTTAAATATGTGTTCTGTTTGGAGCTCTAGCACAGTGTTGGCTCACTCATAAGTATATTTGGGTTCTATTTGGACCTCTGGCGCAGTGTTGGCACACTCGTACGTAATTATGTGTGTTTGTGTTCTGTGTTGACGTCTGGCATAGTGTTAACTCACTCATAAGTCATTATGTGTATAATTTTGTTTTGTGTTATGTGTGTTATAATTGTGATGTTATTGGTGTGATGTTTTGTGTAGATAATTTTTCTTGTTGGTGTCTATTGTTACAAATGATTATTAGATTTAGAAATGATTATTAGTTTCTTTACTGAAACTCACTACTTCTAATCATCATTGTTATTTGACTTAAAATTTATCACAGTGAACCTTCAATTATAGTAAAAATAAATGACTAAACTTTCTTTTAACCTTTAAGTAGTCTCTTCAATTGTGATCTCTTGAAAGATGTTAATTACTTTCATAGTAATTAAAAGAAATTTATTTTTTGCATAGTCATATATGTTAACTAAAAGTACTTGCTGCAATTACCTAAATTCAATTTATTCATCATTTTGAAATTATTGCACAGTTTACACACTAGTCTATATATATATATATATATATATGTATATATATATATGTATATATATATATATATATATATATATATATATATATATATATATATATATATATATATATATATATATATATATATATATATATATATATATATATATATATATATATATATATATATATACACACACACAGACTAGACTGTAAATAAAACAAAAATACTATATATTGATTTCTAATAATATTTCTAAATTCTATACTTTGCTTAAAATTTTTATGTGTAATATCTATTTCGCATATTTTTAATATATGAGGAATAAATTTTTTAGATAAAAAAATATTTTTCACAGTATAATAATGAAATGATCAAAACTACTAATTATAACAATTTGAATTATAAAATTGTAACAATATTTATAAAGTTTTTAGTAAATGGTATGAGGATTTCGATATTCTGTGGCAGCTTTTAGAAAATGCTTAACATTAACTTTTAACTTCATTCACAAAGGTACTCTCTAAAATCAGTAACAACAGCAGAAGCTCTACTAATGAAAATCAGTGACAACAGCAGAAGCTCTACTAATGAAAATCAGTGACAACAGCAGAAGCTCTACTAATGAAAATAAAACTAATTTATGTTGAAGACATTATTTACACATTATTGTATTATTTATTATGTTAATGTGAAAAATTAAAAAGTAATTTAAAATGTGACTAAATAAATAATAATAAATGAAACTTACTTTGTGAAATTGTTTTTGTGACCTAAGAATAACCCTAAAGGTAAAAAATGACAACATTAAAAATCTGTTTTACTTTAAAACATGTTTTTTGGCTCTTAGTCAATAATTAGAAGTAGTGGTTTCAGTAAAAAAAACTATCTAATAATCATTTATAACAATAGACACCAACAAGAAAAATTATCAACACAAAACATCACAATAATAACAACACAATGATAATACACATAACTCAAAACAAAATTATACACACAATGTTTTACAAGTGAGTTAACACTATGCCAGAGGACAACACAAACACACATATAATTACATACGAGTGAGCCAACACCGCTCCAGGTCGACACAAAACACAAACTTACACATAATCACTTACCTTTTGACCAACACTGCATTTTTTCTAAACTATCAATTGTGTCAAACAAGTGATTTCATTTTTGCATTTTGATTAAGCAATTTAACATTAAATACATAATATCTATCCACTTCCAAAAATAATTTATTGATGTTTGTTTTGCAATATTGTATATGAAAGCAATCATTTCAAAGGTGTAATTATGTCTTAATTTAATTATATATACCAAGATTTGATTATACATTTCTTTCTTTGAATTTCTTCTGTCGCTGACTTTTGCAATCTAATATAGTAAAAGTTTTTCCAAAACATCAAACTCTGTTAATGTTAGACATTTTTCTTTATACATGTTAATATTTGCATAACGAAATGGAGAATTTGACTTTAATTTTAAATCTGACACTTCTAAACAAAGGTTATGTTTCTTCATGTAAATTATTTATTTCTACCTATATTGTATCTCTTTCTGGATTCTCAATTTTCGTTGTTGAATTTATTTGCACTCAGTTTTGGTAAATCTGTTATCAAATTAAAATCAATCTCTTTGCTAATCGAATTAAAATCAATGTCTTCGCTAAAATCAGTTGTTTTGTGTTGGTTCAAGACACTAACATCCTCCACTCCAATCAACGCATTGTCAGTATTTGTTCACTGACATTGTCAGTATTTATTTGTTTAGGTATATAGTAAATACAAATACAGACATTTAAAAAAAAATATGGTCTGATTCAACTATTTTTTAGCAAGTAAATGTTGTAAAAATAAATTGGATATTTCATATTAATAAAATATGTGCTCAACAAGCTATTTAACATTATCTAAAAAAAAAGCAATAAACGTATTTTAAATACTTAGTTTTAATGCATAACATAAAAGTTTGTTTTTGCAAGATGAATTAATTCTATGTATACAATTAAGCCACAATCTTCTTCTCTTTGGATTAGCAAGCAAAATATAAAAATTCAAGTTTGGATGACTTTTAACATTTGTTGAACAATTAAAAACACATCACCCTTTCGCCGTTTTCCTATATCATAATGATAGCCGTTTAGTTAGTTAAAGTGATGTCATGTTCGCCGCCGCAAGGATAGACAGGTTCTTGCTAATTTATATATATATATATATATATATATATATATATATATATATATATATATATATATATATATATATATATATATATATATATATATATATATATATATATATATATATATATAGGGTTCCCATACTTCTGGATTTGCCCGGAGATCTCCAAATTTTAACACAAAAAATAAGCCTCCGGAATTTTCAAAAAAAAAACATAAAATCTCCTCTCTTTGGAAGTTTTTTATTTAATTTTTATAAAAATTCCAAATTTAATACTTAAATTTTGAGTATATATAGAACTGAAAATGTAAAAACTACTAAATATAAATTGTTTTAGTCATTCACTTATTGAAAATGCTCAAACAACACGTGTTCTCTTCTTTTCATTACACAATATTGAAAAATACGTACACATCCAAACTTGTGAAAACGAAAGTCAGGACTGTTAAATTACATATACTATAAAGTATTTCGGTTGCTACTACACAATAAATTATTCCTTGAATATAAATTTGAAGTTTAAAAAGTAAAAAAATTGGTACACTATCAATAATGTCGTCCAAAAAAATGTTTTCTAGCTTAAGAAAGGGAGAAATGATTGTGAAGTCAAATTCAAAATTTGGCCAGATGGATCATATTTTTATTTATCTCACAAAGCAAACAAATTTCCTTATGTTAATCTTATTTATCTGATGCATTTTACAATAATAAGTCAAGATTACGCAAGTTGCATAACCTTTGACCTGTTATTAGTCCCAATACTAAGAGTTAAAAGCTTTCAGTTGGATGAAACTTGACGTGGTACCCCAACTTGGGATCAAGTTTAAGACTCAACTTTATTTTTAAATGGAAATGCCCCTTTTTATGTTAATAAACCATTGTGCCATGACCAATTTTCCAACTTATGAGTTCAATAAGTATTTGTTATCAGACAAAGACTAATTGAAAAAGATGGGTTGGTACAAAAATCGAAAAAGTATAGTTGGTATGATTGTTCTTTCCTGTTTATAGTTTTTGTTCTGTTCCAACAAATGATTGGTTGATGACAGTAATTGATAACTGATGCAAGTGATTTTAGTTAGATACAAGTAAATAATGGTTACATGATGACAATAGAGACAAGTTATATAATGGAGATTTAATTTATGGCTTGCATTTATATAGTTTTTATCTTTCGTATATTATTTAAATGGTATATTTCAATATAGAATAACTTATTCTATATTAAAATATACCGTTTCAAAAGACTTAATTCATCAAAACTCGATAATTGTAAGACAGCAATAAAATTGAAAGTGAATGTTTTGCAATTAATTAGGTTTCAAAACCAGCAGTTTGCACTAAAAAAACGAATGCCTTTTTATTTCCCCTTTTTTTTAAAAAAAAAAGTTTTTTTTTATTTAATTCTCTTAAAAGGGGTTCACTCTGGTACTGCCTTGCTAAATAATGGGAACTCCTCATTCATTTAACAAGCATTGTAAAATCTTCTTTTTCGATGATTACCATATGGCAACCCTATATATATATATATATATATATATATATATATATATATATATATATATATATATATATATATATATATATATATATATATATATATATATATATATATATATATATATATATATATTATATATATACTCTGGCCTCCCAGAGTGTCCCAAAATGTCTCAAATTTTTACAGTTTTACTTTTTTGTCATAAAATGTCATAATTTATGGGGTTATGTCCTAAAATATCATAAAGTTTTAAAAGATTTTTTTCAATAAATGTTTTTATACAATAATATACTTATAGTAATGTTGTTTTTTATAAAAAAAAATAACAACATTACTATAAGTATATTATTGTGAATTATTCATAATGTGTGTACATTAAAATGTGCGTATTTGAAAATAATTATTTATCTGTCAAAAAACAGTGTGTATTACAAAGTCATTATTATTCATATCTTGAATGTGTAATTATTATTAATTATCAACTTTATTGTTGTTTTTATATCAGTCTATAAAATAGAAAAAGTTGTAAAAAGTTTTTAGATTAATTTGTGAAATTATAGTTCAACTGTTTATTTATAAGATGTTTAAGAGAAAAACAAAATATAATAAATTGTGGGAGTCTGAGTTTAACTGGATCCAAGTTTGTTCTGGTGATCACTATTCTGCAAGTTGCAAATTGTGCCAGAAAACCTTTTCAATCAGTGGAAGTGGAGCTGGACAAGTGAGAAGTCATGCAATTAGCAAACTTCACACATCAAGGTTTAAAGAAAGAGAAGGACAATCAGAATTTAGTAAAAAATAAAGATAAAATACTTGAATTAAAAGCTTCTAAGATTAGTTACACCATTGAGGAAGAGATTTTAAAAGCTGAAATCATTCATAGTTTAAAATGTGTTGAGTCTAACTATTCTTTTGCCTCAACCAATGGAGATAGTAAAATGTTTGAAGCAATGTTTCCAGATTCAAAAATTGCTAAAGGATACAGACAAGGTGAGACTAAGTCTAAATACACCATTCAGTACGGCATCTTTCCATATTTAAAAACAATATTATTGGAGGATTTAAATAATACTGTTTTTACATTTAAATTTGATGAACCTACTAATCAACAAATTAATAAACAGTATGATGGTTATGTACAATATTGTTCTAGAAAGCACAAGTGCATTAAAATTGCATACTGTGGAACTGTCATGGTAGACCATTGTACTGCTGAAAAATTGTTAGAACATCTCCTCAAGCTTGTAGAAAAAGTTAAGCTTAACATAAAGTTTATGCTCCATATTGGTATGGATGGTCCTAATGTAAATATTAAGTTTGAGAGACTTTTAAAGTTGTCAGAGAAAATAAAAAATTTGAATAAAAACATTATATCAATAGGCACATGCCCTCTTCATATAGTTCATAATGCATTGAGCAGGAGTTAATGTTTTAAATTTCAACATTGACTCATTTGCAATTAATGTTAACTTTTTCTTTAAACATTCTGCTGCAAGAAGATCTGACTATCGACAAATAGAAGATCTAACAGAAATTATTTCATACTTTATTCAAAGACATTCTTCAACAAGATGGGTGACACTCAGAAGAATATGTTCTCAGATTTTAGAACAACACAAGAATCTTTGTGAATATTTTATAAAATTTCTTCCAACAACTACATCTTTTAAATCAACTGTTAGAGATACTGAAAGATATAAGAGGATTACAGATATTTTGCAAAATGAAATATCGATGCCGTATGTTTCTTTTATTGCTTTCATAGCAAATGACTTTGAAATATTTTAAAAACCATTTCAATCAATTAAACCAAGAATTCACCTGATTTACTCTGAAATGTCAAAACTTTTTGTTGCATTAATGTCCAAGTTTATCAAAACTAAGCTTCTGTATGTTAATAATAATGGCAGCAATTCCATAAAATCTATTAATGAGCTGCTGATGATTGATGTGATTGACTCAAAAAATTGTAAACCACTAAAGTTAATTGATATTGGCACAAAAGCCAAATCTTATTTTTCAGAAGCTCTAGAAATCTCATGTGGCAAATAGAAATTTCGGTCTTGAGTCTTATCAAGCATTTACTAGTTATTTAAAATTAAAATTACCTTGGGAATCAACTATTTTAAAAAATGCAATCTTTCTTGATCCTTTAAAAAAGGGTAGTAACGAGTCTCTAGCAGCTATCTCAAATCTCACTCTAGAAGTATGCAAATCACTGGAAGTAGTCTTATGTAAAGTTTTTCCATCTTGTTCATCAAAGGAAGAGGTTTGTGATATTGTACGAAGCGAATGGCGAATTTTCCAAATGGAATTGCTTCCAGAGTGCTATTATAAATGTTCAGAAAAATTAGTTTCAATTGGGAGAAATCAAACTTCTTACTGGGAAAAAGCCTTTCAGCTTGCGGGTCTTTCTATAGTTTCAAAACTTTTATGTAGTTTTGATATTGATACACTAATCAATTCCTTTGAGACTAAAATTTTGAATGATAGTGGTTCACCTAAGTTTCCCAATATTACATCTCTTTTCAAAGTTGTTTCTTCACTTTCGCATGGAAATAGTGTCCCAGAGAATGGATTTTCAATTAACAAACACATTATTCAGTTACATGGTACTTCACTTGATCCAGAGACAATTGAGGCTTTGAGGTTTGTAAAAGATACTATATTAAGCTTTGGATCCATACTCGATATTCCAATAACAAAGTCATTTATACAATCAGTTAAATTTGCTCACTTAAGTTACAAAGCTGACCTGGAAGCTAAACGCAGGTTGAAAGAGAAAGAAGAGAAGCATATAAAAACTAAGGAAACTGAGGAGGCAAAACAACATGTTTTGAAAAATGAAAAAGAAGCTGTTCTTGCATCCATTCAACAGGTATGTTATACTAAACTTCATGAATATTGTTTTGGTAATGTGATTTGTACTTAATTTTCATTTTTTTAATTATTGCATGAAGTAAAAGTTTGTTTTTTTGCAGATAAAAAAAACGGTCTATCAGTTGCTGATGATTTAGTTTTTGAAGGAAATAGTGATTTAAAGAAGTGTTTGCTTCAAAAAAACAGCACAAGAAATGAATTGCAGCGAGCCCAGTGTAAAATTGAAACAGGGATGAAAAGAAGACAGGAGCTTGCTGATGAACAAGACGTTTTAGAAAAAAGGAGTAAAGAACTGTCAATTTAGTCAATTTAGAATTATATTGTTTATATTGCAACTCTAACTATTTTGCTTTTAAACTCTATTTTAACTTAGTTGTATTATAACTCTAAAAGAATTATTATTTTATTTAGAATTTTATTTTTGAATAAAACAGTTTTTTCAGATAATTAACTTAAAAAAATCTATTAACATTTAATACTTGGTTTCTATTACGTCCCTTAATATATATCACAATTTGTAAAAATACCGTAGAATCCTTTTAAGTCAGACTTTAAAGGGAAATTGATATATAGTCTGATTTGTAAGTATCAACAGATGTATCAATATAACAAAATTAACAAAAATAATTACTTAACAAAAAAATCTGTGAAAATGTTTTGTTATGTCCGAGTTATCCAGGGTCAGAGTTAACAGGATTCTATTGTATATTTAACTTTGTTTAGTATTTTAGATATAAGTTATTACTTGAAGGTTTTACATGTAAAAGTTGTTGTTGTAAAGTTAAAGGTTTTTTTGTTTAAATTATATTTTGTTTATTATCTACTTTATATAAACGTAAATAATTTCCAAGGGTATCAAAGGGTAAATAATATATTAATAATAATTGAATTTAAAGGGTTAATTCCCAAACTTAAATTTAAATAATTAAATACAAAAACTCATTCCTAACTTTCGATTGTCCTAAAATGTCCTAAATTTAACACTAATTTGTCCTAAAAAGTCATAAAAAACTTGGAAAAATTGTCCCAAAATCATAAAATTTTACCCTATTTTAGGAGTGGTAGGCCTGATATATATATATATATATATATATATATATATATATATATATATATATATATATATATATATATATATATATATATATATCTGTGTGTATGCTTTTTATATATTTAATTACTTAAGAATTGTGTTAATATTGATACAGATATTGAAAGAAATAGTTTAAAACTGAGTATATGATATAATATATATACTAAGTATATACCTGGTTCTTGATATAGTATATCAAGTATAATACTTGATATACAATATAAAAATCCATGTTCTGATTATTTGAAAGATTTAGACATCGCAGAATCTCATGCAGAATCATATTTTTCAAAAGGATAACCTATTAATGATACAGAGAGTTTATCCTGATAATTTAATAGAATTAAATATTTTTAATTAACAACTTTTAAATTGTGCTATTCATAATCATCGGACCAGTACATTAGTTTATGAACTTCTTGAAATTTTACAAAATCAAGGTTTGGAACTTTGCGGAGATGCAAGAAAAATTTTTGAAAACACCAAGAGGTATTACTAAGTTATACCTAGAGGTGTTTTTAAAACTTACTCTGCATCTTCGAGATAAACAGTTATTAACTGTAATAATTAATCTTGTTTTGAAATACAGGCAAGTATTAAGAACATATTTTTTTTTTTTGTATTTTATAATTGATGGTTTATCTTTATTTAAATTCTCAACTAAACAATTGTGGCCAATATTAGCTTGCTTTGATTATTTTAATATTTTTATAGTTGGCATTTATTGTAGTAAAACCAAGCCTAATTTACTAACTAAATTCCTATTTTTTTCTTTGAGTCAAGTCATTAATACAAAATGGTTTTCTATACAATAAAAAATGTAAGGAAATTTTTTACACACTTATCTCATATAAATCAACTGTTACAACTGGTTTAGTTTTTTAAACTTAAATTCATTTGAATTTTTTCCAAAAAAAAAATCACACAAAAGAATAAAGGCATTAGTTGTACTAGTCATTTCAAAATCTGCTTTAAATAATCCTTTGAAAATAGATGTAATTGATTTCGCTATTTTATTTTTCGTTCTTTAAAAATTCCAAATAAATAATTATAATTAAAATCAATATTTATATTTTTTATTTGATAAAATTTATTTTTTAGTAACTTATCTAACTTCAAATTATAATGAGAAAAATTTATTTAAAGTTGGAAAAGAGTTGATATTTTTTTCTATATGAATGAATTTTTGATAATTTATGGTTTTTAGTTTTAACATTTAGTAAAAAAATATATAACACAGCAAACATTTAAATAGAAATTTCAGTGGACCTATATAGGCGTTGTAGGTGGTTGCAGTTTTGGTCATCGTATACTTAATGGACCATTAGTGGCAGCAGCCAAAAGTGGATAACACGAATAACCACTATATCACTTGTTGGAATGTTATCGGCTGGCCACTTTAGTAATTTTCTAAGTAAACGATGAGTTAAACTCCATTTAACTGCTCAGAATGCCTTTATAGGTCTACTGCAAATCCACTACAACAATGTTTGCTGATAAAGTTTCAATATGTAGTCATTTGATTATTTGATATTGATATATATTCAGGGTTCCCAATCCTCCTTAAAAACCTTAAATATCCTTGGAAAAAAAAATATCTTTAAAAGTCCTTAAATAATCTTTAAAAAGATTGTTTAAGGACTTTTCTTAATTTACTTTTCTATAAATTTTTGTTTTACTTATTAATTAAAAATTTATTTATAAACATATATAACAGGGTTCCACTACTCCTTAAAAACCTTAAATATCCTTAAATGTCCTTAAATAACCTTAAATAAAGTTAAAATTTGACTTAATTTCTCCGTATTTTTTTTAATCATCTAGGATTTTATTTAAGTCAAATGGATTATACTTATTAATAAAGAAGAAAATATATAGTTCTTTGATAGTTTACAAACCTATTTTTTTATTAAATGTATATATATATATATATATATATATATATATATATATATATATATATATATATATATATATATATATATATATATATATATATATATATATATATATATATATATATATATATATATATATATATATATGTATATAGAGTAATATATTAGTTAATAATAATTTCTCTGTATTTAAAATTTATTGAAAAAAATAAGATTCTGTTTTTATAGTTATCGTTTTCTCCTTATTTTTTCTTTCAAAAAATTGTTGTTCACGACCAAATATCTCCTTAAATCTCCTTAAAATCCTTACTTTAATCCTTTAATTTAATCCTTTCTCCTGTATATTTACATACTTATCTTGACAATTTTTTTTAGGTTTAAGACAGTTTACCTGATTCCTACAACAAAAAAGAACTTTAAAATGCTGTTGGCAATAAAAGAACAGTCGATTCTTTGAAATTAACAAGTGGATGAAGAAGTTTACAAAAATTATAATTTATAAAACATAGCACAATTATATTAATAAAAATTTTAGCAAATTTTTATTTTTTACTTATTCTCAAAAAGTTAAGTGAAAGCATAGATTTTAACCTTACGTTTGAGTAAAGCCATGTAAAGACACGTATTATAGACGTCGAAATGAGGACGGCTAAATTAAGTTATTTAAAAACGTCATTTGGCGTTTCCATTTTGCACTAGTTCTAAACGTCCTAAATTCACATCTTTTGGACGTCTAAAAAACACGTCTTTATTCCGTCCCAAAAAGACCTCCTAATACATCCTAAAAAGACATCATTTAGCGTTGCCAATTGAAACTAGTTCTGGACGTCCTTAAAAGACGTCTTTTCGACGTCATGTTGACGTTGCCGTGTCCACTGGGGTACATTTCAGTTGGTAAGTTTAGAAGTATAGTTGGCAAATGTCAATATTGAGGACCCTTTTTGTCTGTATGTGTGTGTGTGTATCTAGTTAGCAAAAAACACATACAATCCCCCCTCCCCCAATGAGAAATCTCTTCGGGACGGCCCTGTCAACAATCACGCTAAATAAGAGAAGCATCATAGCTACAAATGTCCTGATAAATTTTTATCAGGGCCACTAACCTATTTCCTCCCGAGAAAAATAATAATAAAGCGGCCGTGGCGCAGCATATAGAGCGCTTGCATTATAAGCAGGAGATCCTGGACAGCTTTGGACATATTTCACGTCACGGTAAGAAAAGAGGTGTGAACTTTCTGGTTAAATACACTTCCGCGGTGCTCTGTGACAAGACCGTTAGGACTTCTTGGGGCACTAAAATAACAAATAAAAAAAACTAAAACAAATCAATCAAAAAAAATATTTTTTCAAAGCTTTTTTTTAAAAATTCTTTCTTTTTAAAAAGTTATAAACCTCAACTTTAAAACAAAATATTTGAAAAAAAATAAGGGCACGACCCCTTTTGTCCAGGAAACAAATTTCAGAAGTTTCAGAGCTCTATCTACTCTAAAAGTTATTAAAAAACCAATCGTAAGGTTCCGGGATAACTGATAGCCGACAAACTGCTTGTGAAGTCAAACTGACGTTTGAAAAAAAATTGAAAGTTCTATTTTAAATTTTATTTTTCTAATCATCCTTGTGCGGGTTTGACACTACGCAACAAAAAGGAGGTTATTTCGGTGCCAACAACCTATAGTAGAAGATTAAACAGCTTTCTTTAATCGTTTTTTAAATAGATTATATATGATAAAATGCAATAAAAGATTATATTTGATAAACACTCCTTTAACCATATAAATTATATCAGATAGTTTAAACGACTTTTAATTTAATTTTTTGAAAACTGTTTTAGCAGTCGATCTTCTTGCGGATACCAAAAATGTTATATTGCATCATATTACCATAACAAAACACTTGTATGAAAAGGCAAATACAAATAAAAAAACTGGAGAAAAAGCGCGCTCTAACGAACAGTGACTTAGTCAAGGTTTACACATGTATAAATTACCCATTGCTTAGAAATTATGCCCCCTTCCCCTCCTCCCCACTAAAGTTCTATTATGGCCACTAACTTATTTCTGCCTAACAAAAAATAGAAATAAAAAATCAATGATTGTTTAGCAGCCCCTATTCAGGGAGTCCGTCTTTACACTACTGGAATACCCGCATGTTGACTATATTTTCCCCAAATTATAGTAGAATTACCTTTTATGATATACGTAAAAAAAATTAGCTTTTCGGACAAACAACTTGCGTCACTTTGCACTTCTTAAAGTTGAAGTCCACAAAAGAGTTGTGCGACCAATTTACAA